GCTTACCCTGTCACTTGTAATCAACCTGCAGATTGACATCACTCTGGTAAGGCACCTGGTGCAGCAGACATGATGGCGCCTGAAGAACCGATATTTGAACGATTCCCCATCTCATAACTTCGGCAGCGGGGAAAAGATGACCCTCAACGACTTCATTCAGCGCCACCAGAAGATGGACAAGCGGGAGGTGAAGGCTGAGGGCGTAGACAGTGATGGCAACCCTGTGACCTTCGAGTACGAGCTGCACGAGAGGAAATTCAAAGGGCACGAGACGGCCGGTGACGTAGAGGCGTGCTACGAGCTGTCGTTGAAGTTCGTGCGTGAAATCGATAAGGAGCTGGAGTGGCGCATGAGGGACCTGGCGCATCTGGAGGGGTCGAAGCTGTTTTGCTCAGCATCATACGTCACAGACAATACAAAGCGTGTGGAGACCTTCAAAAAGTGGCTGGCTCAACTGCACAAACTGTTCAACAACAAACTGCCAGGTATGTATGTGTTCTGTTTGTGTGCGAGCGTGGTTGTTGGGTACCTGTACGCATGCGCGTTGATGTATAGTATCTTCGTACACTCATGCCTGCGCCTTGTTGATTGTTTGGTTTAAGATTCCCCCTCCCTCCCACCTGCTACAAGTATACCCTCCGTAATTCCCACTCCCGATTATCAGTATTTGACTACACCAGGGCACTGAGCGAGCTGTGGATGTTCACGTCTACCATGTTCACAGCACAACGACGAGGACTTCCACCAGGCGCTGGGGAACATGCTTCGGGACGACGCATGGCAGCACTCCTTCCCCAACCTGATGCGGATGTGGCAGGCTGTTGCCGTGCTACCACTGAGCACGGTGGAGTGCGAGATGGGATTTAGCAAGCAGAATCTGATCAAGTCGTGGGAGCGTGGCGCCCTCTCTGACACGACCCTCGAGCATCTGATGAGATGCTCTCTGCTCCAGTACAACGTGGACTGGTACGAGGTGGTGTCGATTTTCAGGGGAGAGAAGCTGCGGCGGTCAACAAAGGACTTCAGTGGCACCAACCCAGGAGAGGCTCTTTTTGCTGATGATGACAAGGAGGGATCTTCTGACCCTGTTACTTGAGGAGGACTAGGGAAAGAAACCCAATGGTAGTTCTGTTAGCCTGGTATTTGACCATGGGTAGCTTATTGTACTAGTTAGGAAGACTGAAATATTATAATTTTTAAACACACATGTAGTGTTTTTTAAAATTGTGTATTGTGAAAGCGAAGCTGCTTGTACTGCACAATTGGCATCGTCGAAGCGCGCTAAACGCCCTTCTCCAACTACAAAAACCGTGGGTTGGAGCTCATTTCCCTCCACCCACGTTTCTCAATTTTCAAACGGCTCACTCAACATTCCCACCACCCACCCCAGTGTAAACCGCCTTGCTAATGCCACTTGGATAGGGTACAGAATAGCTAGTGTTATTAGTCCGCACTAGCTTATGTCGAACGATGATGCAAATGTTGTAATACGCCATTTGTAATGAGAACGATGCCAATTGATAAGAAAGAAAGCAAGCTTTCTCAATCTTAATATCTGCAACTTTATGCTGCTAAATTCAGTGTAGAGACATTTTCATACTGACTGATTCAGTGCATTGGAATTTTTACGCTGCAGAATACAGGGAATTTTTTTTTTTAACCCTAGCCATCAGGCTTCACTTAACCTCGTACCCTGATCACCCAGGGTTCGCCAAAACCAATCTGAAGGCCTGATTGTGAGGTAGTCCCAAAAGATGGTGACGTGACGCCAAAAAATTGGTTATGTGATGCGGGGTCATGGCACGGCTAAAATGATGGCTTTGTATTGAGTATATTTACGTAATAAGAAGCATTTGTTATTCATATCTTTATTAGCTAGATTTGGATCTGTGTTGCGTAAGTTTCTGTGTGACAGCAAACGAGTAAACGGTACAAGTCGTACTTGTAGTGACTGCCACATCCTCGCTCTAACGAGTCTGTTCGTATCAAACACCACCGTAGTGCACCGTACGAATCCGCCATTGTTCTCACAAAATCTTTGCCCCACCTCGTGGTTCTGTCCGATTTCGTCACGAATCTGCGGCAGCCGCAAGGCGGCTTTCAACATAGCTGACCGCATCCATGGCGTTCCGTAGCTCGCGCCGCCTTGTGCGGGCCGCCATTTCCACGCGAATTACCAATCCGGAACCGGCCCTTCGATCACGCGCCATTGCCACAGCAACCGTCGATTTACCAGGCTTCGATCGAACCGTAGATTCTCAGTTTCCATCTTCTCCACCGTCCCATGGCGACACTCGCGCGTCGCGAATCTGCCACATTAGCACCGAACCTAGCGCGCCGAGCCTTCCACGTGTCGTCGCGTCGCTAGCCGGACTCCCCGCTTCCCCGCCGTCTCCCCCCGCTCCCCTGTTCCCCGTACAACCGCTCCCCGTTCTCCCCGCCAACGCCGCTCCGCTCATTGTTCCGCGCGCCCGTTCGATTTCAGGATCGCCCCTCCCGCCGGCCGCAGCCACGATGATCCCAAGGCGGTGCCTCGCGCACTCGCACCGCCGAACGGGTGCGATACGGATGTGCATGTAGGGAAGGTGCTTGTAGGGAATGTGCTTGAATGGAGAAATATTCCCGTAGGATAGTGAGCTGAGCTCCCACTCCTGCTCACTCCTGCTCACTCCTGCTCACTCCTGCTCACTTCTGCTCACTCCTGCTCACTTCTGCTCACTCCTGCTCACTACTGCTCATTCCTGCTCATTCCTGCTCACTCCTGCTCACCCCTGCTCACTCCTGCTCACTTCTGCTCACTTCTGCTCATTCCTGCTCACTCCTGCTCACTCCTGCTCACTTCTGCTCACTCCTGCTCACTCCTGCTCACTCCTGCTCACTTCTTTCTGCTCACTCCTGCTCACTTCTGCTCACTCCTGCTCACTTCTGCTCACTGCTGCTCACTTCTGCTCACTCCTGCTCACTCCTGCTCACTCCTGCTCACTTCTGCGCAAATCTCACACACATGGTGCGCAAGAAGCGAGATGACTTCTGCTTCCCCCAAATCGGACTCACAAGTTGCGGAAGAAGCGAGCAGCTACACACTCGCGCTCACTTCTACTTCAGTCATTATCCTCAGAGAGAAGCAGTTGTGTAGTCTAGGCTTAAGCAAAAGAGCAGCAGTTGTGTGTAGTCACGTGAAAAGAGGGTTAAAACCGGAGGTCCAAGAGTTTCTAAGTTAGGAAAATTGGAAGGGGAGAGAAAGGTGACTGGCTCGCGAGCCAGGGTGGTGTCGAATCGGTGGTAGCGGGTCGCTAAGTAAGAAAAAGTCGCGAGTGTAACCAGATCTGGAATGCTACGTCAGATTTCGTTCGCAGACTCTTTCGGACGGGCTGCAAATTTGTTTGCGAAGTTGTCACCGCTATCGTCCTCGCTTGAACAGTAACTTCGCTTGGCAAAAATCGTCCCAACAATTTGCGAGGAGAGCTCGGTATCAACTGGGTCACACCCAACCAAAGTTAGGAAGGTTGAGGCAGTTTTGGGCTGTTTGGGACTCCGGTTTTAAGCACCCTCAAGAGAGCAGCAGTTTTTGAGACGCCTCAAAAACACCCCCTTTTTCACATGGCTATCCTCCGAGAGAAGCAGTTGTGTAGTCTAGGCTTTAGCAAAAGAGCAAGCTGCGCAAGAAACAGTTTCCTTTCATCTCGGCTCAGCAGTCCCCTCTCTCTCACACCCCTTTTCTTCTCCCATTTCTGATAGACAAGCTACATAAGCAGCACAAGAAGCAAGGCAAGAATGAGGAGAGGGAACAGGAGGAAGAGGAAGAAGAAGAGGAAGAGGAGGAGGAAGAAGCAGGAAGAGGATCAAAATCCGGAGCCAGGAAGAAAGGCAAGGACAAGAAGGAAGCTTCTGGGAAGAAAGGGGCCGGCGTGAAGAAAGGCCGTGGGGGGGGAGGAGGGGGAGGCGAGGAGGAGGGGGGAGGCGAGGAGGCGGTGCAGAGAGCGGTAGATCTGGTGCAGGTGCATGTGGAGGAGGCGAAGGAGGCTCTTATCAAAGAGCTTGCCAAGATAAGGACAGGCCGTGCCGCCCCTGGTAAGCCTGGGATGGATTCTGAGTTGCATTCGATTCATCAGCAGGGTAGGCACGTCACAGAAGCACGTCACAGAAGCACGTCACAAAAGCACACAGGAGGTTGTTTTTTGAGGCGCCTCAAAAAAGAGTTGCATTCGATTCATCAGCAGGGTAGGCACGTCACAGAAGCACACAGGAGGTTGGCACATCCTTAAGATCAGTCATTGCCCTGGATTGGGTCAGTGAACGTGTATGTGGGGGGGGGGGGGGAGGAGGAGGCGGTGCAGGGGGCGGTGCAGGTGCAAGGTGACTTTTGAGTCGACTCAAAAGTCACCTCATTGCCCTGGATTGGGTGAGTGAACGTGTATGTGGGGGGGGGGGGGCGGTGCAGGGGGCGGTAGATCTGGTGCAGGTGCATGTGGAGGAGGCGAAAGAGGCTCTTATCAAAGAGCTCGCCAAGATACTCACAGGCCGTGCCGCCCCTGGTGAGATTCAGATACACCCCTAGACACGTCACAGAAACACACAGGAGGGAGGTGACTTGTGAATCGACTGGGAAGCCACCACGGGTTGGGTGACTGAAGGTGCTGGTGGGGGAGGCGAGAAGGCGGTGCAGGGGGGCGGGGATAGATCTGGTGCTGGTGTGTTCTGACGTCTTCAATTCAAACCAACCTACAGTGAGGGTGAATGTGGGGGAGGAGGCAAAAGAGCTTCTATCATTGTGATAAGAGGTTGGCCAAGATAAGGACGGGCCTTGCCTTCCCCGGATTGCACCGCAAGTCTTTCGTTACCCACCCTCGTTACTGTCACACTCACAGGTCTCCATAATCACGTGCATGTGGATGTGTATTGCCTTGCTGCCCCTCCTGTTCACTCTCACGTTCCGCTCACTCACCCCTCTTTACTCTCACCCGTCACTGCTCCCACCCTCGTCACAATCACATTCACAGGCCTGCTTGACCACGTGCACTTGGAGGCATACGGCCGCCCCTCGCCATTGTCACGCGTGGCCACAGTCACAGTCAAGGATCCCCAGCTGCTCTCCGTCACTCTGCACGATGCTTCTGTGAGTATCAGATGCATGCTGCTGCTGTTCCCCCTGTGAGCTCTCAAGTCAACGGTCCCCTGCTTTTCCTCCTCATCTCTTCTCACACTCCCAGTCAAGCGCCCCTAGGTGCTCTCAGTCACACTCCATGACGCGTCTGTGAGAATGTCTGGACTAGATAGCATAATCCGTGTGAGATGGCCAGTCAAGGACCCCAACCCTTTCCTCCTCATCCATCTCACACTCCCAGTCAAGCGCCCCTAGGTTCTCTCAGTCACACTCCTTTGATCCTCCCGTGAATGTTTTTGGTGCTTAGATGGGTCGCATGTTCTAGTACCCATGCGACCCATGTGACTTTTGAGTCGACTCAAATTTCACCTCGTTACAATGGCACACGACACTGTTTCTGGTGCGTAGATGGGTCGCATGTTCTAGTACCCATGCGACCCATCTCGCGAATTTACCATTACGTGGGTTCCCATTAGATGGGTCGTAATGGTAAAGTTGCGAGTAATGTAGAAGTTACACGTGCGTGCGCGTAACAAAGTGTAACATATGTTCGGGCAGGACATGAACAAGATTGATGGGTACGAGATTGATGGAAGTAAGGCCTTTGCAGCCCACCTGTCCTCTCTTGACAGCTCCGGCAGGACATGAACAAAAACTCAGGCAGAAAGGGCCTTAAAACCACCACGCTCGTATCAAGAGTCAACCCTCCTCCCCCTCTTCCTCCCTCTACCCCCTTCCCCACAATTCCCTAGCTGCTAGGAGCGGCGATGAAGGGCCTGCAGGAGTCACCCATGGGGCTGAACCCCTCTCACACCTCACATACTGCCATCCTCGTGCCCATTCCCAAGTGAGTGCAAGACACTCCTCCTGTGCACGACTATCGAGTAGAGAGACAAGCGTTGAGGCGCCTCTAAAGAATCGTCCATATGGGGCTGAGCCCCTCGCACACCTCGCACACTGCCATCCTCGTGCCCATCCCCAGGTGAGTGTGACTATCCTTGCCCATGCATCCCCATATGTTCGTGCCCCTCCATTTGCTGACATGCTTACATGCTGTCTCACCCATGGGGCTGAACCCTTCTCACTCCTCGCACACAGCCATCTTCGTGCCCATTCCCAAGTGAGAGCTTCGCTTCCCTCTCACTCCTCCCACACATGCTTCCTTAAATTCGCCCATGGGGCTGAACCCCTCTCACACCTCGCACACTGCCATCCTTGCGCCCATCCCCAGGTAAGCACCGTTTTCCTCCTTCCCATTTCCTCCCAGGTGAGCAGGTATTTTGATAATAGAGAGCCAAGAGTGAGTCTTGGCTTACCGTGGCTGTCATACCATGCCCATCATTCTTTCCGTTGCCATCATTGTACATTAATAGCAGGAAATTTGAGGCGCCTCAAAAGTCCTTCCGTTGCCATCATTGTACATCAATAACAGGAATTGGCAGAGCCTTTGATCTTTTGGCAGTAGCTTGCAACGTGTTCTACTTGTTCAACCATTGATCTTTTGAGTCGACTGGAAAAAAAAGCACCTCATGTACAAATTGTTTATTAAATATATGTTCCAAAATCCTTCTTCCCTTGTTCGAACCGAACCTTGACTTTATCGTATCTCATTTTCCTTTTTGGTTCCAGTTACTATTTAGATTCCTATGCTTCATATCATTGGTCTCAAAACACAGTTACTATCAATGAAATTACCTTCAACTTACCCTCCTGCTTCTCCCCCTTCTTCCCCGTTTTCCCTCCCCTTGTTGCATGCGCATTTTACTTCCCCCACCTTCAAGACTGACCAAGGAAGTGAGAGAGGTGAGAAGGGGGGAGTGAAGGTGAGAGGAGGGGAAGTGAGGGAGGTGAGAAGCAGGAAGTGAGGGAGTTAAGAGGAGAGGAGTGAAAGCTGTGTCTTCTACCCCCCCTCTTCCCTCTTTTCTCTCAATCATCAACTTCCATCTTCCTTTGTTGTCTCCGCGAGACTGCCTTTGAGACCTCTACATCTCCCTCCGCTCTCTGTCCTTCCACATCCTGCTCACACCTCCCTTCCCCTGGCCATGTTTAAGAGCGCTTAAAAGGCAGCAGAGTCTGCAAGATTGCTCTTTTCCCTCCTCTCTGCCCTTCCGTATCCTTCTCCCCATTGGCCTCCCCTCTTCCCCTCCCTTCCCCAGGCCTTTTTCAAGCTCGCGCAAATGGCAGCGGAATTTTCTGAATGTCCCCTCTACTCTTCCCCCCCTCTCCCCTTCCCCAGGCCATGTTCAAGCTGGCTCAAAAGGCAGCTGAGTTTGCAAGAGTGAGCTTGAGGCCTCTTAGAAGTTACTAGCTCAGCCCCTCCCCATCCCCCTCCCCATCCCCTTCCCCCTCCCCCCCACCCCCCTCTCTTCCCCAGGCTATGTTCAAGCTGGCGCAAAAGGCAGCGGAGTCTGCGAGAGTGAGCTTGCGGCGGGCGAGGAAGGAGGTGAGTGAGGGTGGCTTTTGAGTCGACTCAAAAGTCACGGCGGGCGAGGAAGGAGGTGAGTGAGGGTGGCTTTTGAGTCGACTCAAAAGTCACGGCGGGCGAGGAAGGAGGTGAGTCAGGGTGGCTTGCTGTGCTGATGCACGCATTTTCCACTAGTGCAAGGTTTTTTTCCACTTTAATAAATCTCATATGTATGGCGAATTTCTTGTTTTTGCGTCACTCGTCTCGATTGTCCCCCTGCAATGGGAGACTGCGACACACTCTTTGCCTGCAATACCCTGTTTATCCTGTTCTCGCATTGTTCAGAATTTCAATCTCTTTCGCAATACAAATTCACTCCACCTGTTTGTCTAGACTTAAACCCCAAGTCTTTTGTAATTAGGATCTCTGTCCTGTCTCAGAAGGCGCCGCTCTTCTCCATTGTCCTCCTCGTCTCCTGCAATACAAACCAACTTACCTGTGCTTATAGGGAATGGACGCTATAAAGAAAGCAGCAGATGTGATTCCCGAGGACGAGCGCAAGCGGGCGGAAAAGAAGGTACAGTTCTCTACCCCTCTCCATCGCCCTTCACCACACTGTACCACATGGTTTCTCAACATACCGCACTACACTGTTCTCCAGTAAACGAGCAGGCGTTTTGTCTGCTGTGTGTGGCAAGTGGAGGAGGCAGCAGCAGCAGCTAAGGAGTAGCTATAGGGGCGCTTTCTTTACTCTCACCCCGCAACACCCCTTGTCTCTGCTGTGCATGTGAGTGTGTGCGTGTGTGGCAAGTGGAGGAGGCAGCAGCAGCAAAGGAGCAGCTATAGGGGCGCTTCCTTGACTCTCACCCCTGCATCACTCACCTTGCAATACCCCTTGTACCGTATCACCCCGGATAGAAGCGCAGGCCCCTATCACCTTGCAATACCTCTTGTGTGTGTGTATGTGTGTGGCAGGTGGAGGATGCTGTAGCAGCAGCAAAGAAGCAGCTGGATGCTATATGCGAGGCCAAGGAGAAAGAGCTCAAGGGGTAGTGTACTTAGTGGTGGTACCGGTAACGTGATTTTTACGTTTAGTAAAATGTAATCCTTCTTCTTGTGAGGCCAAGGAGAAAGAGCTCAAGGGGTAGTGTACTGGTCGTAACGCGATTTGTTACAGTTTGACACCCTCGCGTCGCCCTATCAAACCCAGTGTAAAATCCTGGTTATGTGGGAGGCTGATGTCGCAGTATTAAGTATTTTTTTAAACAGCTACGGCATGATTTTGGTTGAAGCGTAAGAAAAGTTGTTTCCAACTTTGATACGGTGTTGCAGCAGGAACTTCATTTGGAAGCTGGAAAAGGGCATAAACAACCCAGGCTAGTCTGAAACAAAATCCAGCACAGCTCTGCTGTCTTCTCCCTCATCATCCTAAGCCCAACCATGATATGGCATGCAGCAGTGACATCAGGAGGAGAGGATGCGTTCACTCATGGTTGATGTAATTATGTAGCATAGGGTCGAAATACAAGTACCAGCAATTTTAGAAACACATTGCATATCATACGACGCTAAATGCACGCATCAGCATAAACATTTGCTCAGATTTGCAGTCAAGTCATCATCGCACAGAGAAACAAGACAACCAGTACCGCTACCACCTATCAAAACCATCACCCCGCTCTGTTCGCTCTGTTGGCTCTGTGTGTGCCCTACCAACACCGACGAGAGGCACAGTGCCCTGCACACCTTCACTGTCCATCAATCCCTCACTCCACACGCACACACACACACTCGCATCCTCACTTAACCCCAGCATCCTCACTTACCCCCAGCATCCTCACTTGCCATTCCTCACCAATCACTAGCACCACCACCAGGTACCGGTACCAACCCCATCCCACCTACCACACCACTCGCCCCCACTTTAAACCACCATCACAACAAGTCACCCCCTCCCCTCACTTCCCTCTAACCCTCCTGTGCCTGGCAGGACCTGAGTAGCTCAAGCAGTGCAGCCGCCTGAAAGGGAGACGAGAGCAGCAGAGGGAAGTAGGGGAAAGGGAAGGGGGTTACATTACATCCGGCCTTCCTTCTATCCACCCTCCTGTGCTGGCACGACTGTAAGAGCTCCAGCAGTGCTGCGGCCTGAAAGGGAGACGAGAGCAGCAGGGGGGAGGGGAGGGGAGCGGGTAGCAGGAAGAGCATGCGTCAACCAGTATCATCACCACATGCCATCCAGGGCCCCACCCTCAAACCACCCTCCTGTGCCTGGTAGGACCTGAGTAGCTCCAGCAGTGCTGGCGCCTGAAAGGGAGACAAGAACAGCAGGGGGAAGGGGAGCGAGGTCACATGGGGAGGGGATGGCAGGGAAGCACGGAGAGTAAGAAAGGGTAGAAGGGAGGGGAGAGAGAGGTGAGGCACGGAAGTAGCAGCTCCAGTAGTTGAAGCCTAAGGGAGAAGGCAGGGGAATACTTTGAGGCACCTGGCTGTGTAAGGGAGAGGGAAGGGGAAGGAACAGAAGGGGGGGGGAGCTGGGTGTGGGTCGAAGGGAAGGGGGTGGCAGGGGGAGCGTGGAGGAGGGACAGAGCGGTTGGGAGAGATGGGGAGGGGGACGGGAAAGGTGAGGCAGTGCAGTGCGGCAGGCTTCCCTACTCGTATTGCAAGGGCTGCAGCGCAATCTAAAAGCCTCAAGAGTTTTTTGAGATATCTTCTGAAAAAAAACGGGAAGCGAAGGAGGGCATACATTGGAATGCAGCAAATGGAAAACACGACAGACTCACTTTTGAAGCGCTTCAAAATTCGCCTCACACCCCCACCCACCCTTACCGTTCCAACCTCAACCACGCACACTCACATCACCAGACTCAGCCTCTCACCAACAGCCCATACTCCCTTTGGCCTGATCCTTTAATGTCCCAACCCCAGGCTCACACCCCCACTCAAGGCTCACCTTGGCTTGCGTTTTGCTGGTTCCCACACGTGTGAGCACATCAACCGAGGCCGATACCCCCTCCTCGTCAGTCGCAACCAGCCACTCCCTGCTGCTCGCCCCCAGGTCTCAAACCCTAAGCCCAGCAACACCCCCGGCCCCTCCCATCTCCAGTCAAGACTCACCTTGCTTGAGTCTTCCCCGTGCCAACACGGGTCAGCACATCCACAGAAGCAAAACTCCCCTCCTCATCAATCGCAACGAGCCATTCCTTACTGCTCGCACTCAGCCTTGGCCCCCAAACCCCAGTTTCTCCAGACAACACTCACCTTGGCTTGCGTTTTCCCTGTTCCCACGCGTGTGAGCACATCAACCGACGCCGATATCCCCTCCTCGTCAACCGCGACCAGCCACTCCTTGCTGCTCGCCCCCAGCCCCTCAGCAGCACCTCGCAGTCATGACTCACCTTGGCCTGTGTCTTCTTCCCTGTCCCCACGCATGTGAGCACATCAACAGAAGCAGATATCCCCTCCTCATCGATCGCGACCAGCCACTCCTTGCTGATCGCACCCAGCCCCAGCAGCGTCCCCACCGCATACTCCCTCCCTTTGTGTGGCGCCTTGAACCCCCTCCTCACTCTTCAACCTCCCTCTCTCAGCCCAGCCCCCCTTTCACAACCCCAGCCGGGATTCACCTTGGCCTGAGTTTTGCCAGTGCCAACGCGAGTCAGCACGTCCACTCAAGCCGATATCCCCTCCTCATCAATCCCCGCAAGCCTTAGCAGTGAACTCCCAGCCCTGCCCACCTAGCTGCGCTGCGACTCACCTTGGCCTGAGTTTTGCCAGTGCCAACGCGAGTCAGCACATCGACTGAAGCAGATATCCCCTCCTGATCGATCGCAATCAGCCACTCCTTGCTGCTCGCACCCAGCCCCAGCAGCGTGCCCACCGCATACTCCCTCGCTCAATGCAATGCAGCCTTGCTATCTGCGTCTCCCATCCCTTGCCTTGACACGACTCACCTTGGCTTGAGTCTTCCCCGTGCCAACGCGAGTCAGCACATCAACGGATGCAGAAATCCCCTCCTAATCGATAGCAACCAGCCACTCCTTGCTGCTCGCGCCCAGTTTCAACAGGAGCGTTCCCGGCCTTGGCCCCCACCCAGCCCTTGGTTCCCTTACTCAAGACTCAACACTCACCTTGGCTTGAGTCTTCCCCGTGCCAACACGGGTCAGCACATCAACGGACGCCGAAATTCCCTCCTCATCGATCGCAACAAGCCACTCCTTGCTGCTCGCACCCAGTCCCAGCAGCGTCCCCACCGCATACTCCCTCGCCCTGCCCTGCGTGCCCCCCTCCACCAACTCAGCCAATGCCGGCACCGCCCCTTCTTCCACCAGCACCTCTCTCCCCTCGGGATCCCTCACAAGAGCCGCAAACACCGCTGCTGCTTGCTCCTCTACCACCTCCACCCCTTCACTCAGCAACTGGCACAAGCACCGCACTGCACCGGCTTTAGCCACGCTGGACCGGTTCGGCCGGGCCATGCAGAGGGAAACCAGGAGGTTCGCGGCGTCTTTTTTGGCCCGGGTGGGGCCGTCCAGGAGCAGGTCTAGTAACGGCTGTAACGCGCCTGCGGTTACCACGGCTTCCCGGAACGAGTTCGCCTCAGCTGCTGCTCGCGCCCCGCTGTTAATACTGCTGTTGGCGCCGGTGTCGCGGGAAAGGAGAAAGAGAGCTGCTGCTGCGTTGGCTCTGGCGGCGGGAGCACCGGCGGAAAGCACGTGAACGAGTCCTTCAACTACTCTACTCCCGGTGGTAACCACAATACGCATTCTTGCGGACGCTTCTAGAGCAAGGTTGAAGAGCGAGGTGGTTGCGTGCTCTGCGGTGGGTTCGTCGTCCGACCAGAGGAGGTCGACGAGTGGCGCCACGCCGCCCGCTTCCAAAACCCGCCGCCCGCACGCGAACCCGTGCCGGGTCATGACCCGGAGCAGGGCGGCGGCCGCGGCTTTTTCCTCGGGCGGTCCGGTGCGCATGTGGTTGACTAGATTGTCCACATCTAGCATTTGGAATTCCTCTGGGGGTTCGGAGGGGGTAAGGGAGGAGGAGGAGGCGGGGGCGTGGGAGGAGGAGGCGTAGGAGGGGGCTTTGGAGTGGGAGCCGCGGGGGTGGGGGGGGAGAGGGGAAGGGGGGGAGGGGGCGAAGGAGGCTTGCGAGAGGATGGAGTGGTGGGAGGAGGGGAGGGGGAGAGACGCGCGGGGGGGGAGAGAAGCAGCAGCAGCAGCACTACCAGCAGCAGCAGCAGCAGGAGGGGGAGAGGCAGGGCCAGAGACAGACGCAGAGGCGAAGGAGAATGCTCCACTGTAGCCGCCGTCAACAGAGGCAGAGGAGGGGAAGCTTTGGTGGGTGCCCTGGTTGGGATCGAGGGAGCGTGAGGACGGGAACTGGTACGGAATCGACTCCCACTGCCCCCCGTCCACGCTGCTGCTAGTACTCAACCCGCGCTCATGCCCCCAACCTCCTCCCCCTCCTTCCCCTCCTCCTCCCCCGTGGTCCTTACTATGCTCTCTCGAGGCACTGTCTTCCCGAGCCAACAGCCTCGCAATTTCCCGTTCCATCTTCTTCCGACCCTTGGAAACCCGACCCTCGGACTGGCCCGGGATCCGAGGCTTGGGGCTCAGAGGCACGGCAGTCGCAGTAGGTCCGGGGCTCACAGGTCCGGAAACAGGTCCGGAAGTAGGTCCGGTGGCAGTGAGGGCGCCTGGCCTGGGACGGACAGGCGCGGGTGCAGTAGACGCAGCTGCTGCGGCTGTAGCAGCAGAAGCTGTGGCGGCAGAAGGAGCAGCAGCAGCAGTAGCAGCGGCTGTAGCAGCAGCTGTAGCAGCAGAAGATGCTTCAGCACCACCAGTGGACGCAGCACCATCAGCAGCAGCAGCAGCAGCAGCAGCAGCAGCAGCAGCAGCAGCAGCAGCAGCAGCAGCAGCAGCAGCAGCAGCAGCAGCAGCGCTACCAGCAGCGAACCTGGAATGCCTAAGACCTCCAAACTTCAGACCTGTCCTCCCAGCCGAACCTTGCCCGCTTCCCCCACTCCCTCCGCTTCCCCCTGCCCCCCCTGCTCCCCCTGCCCCCACCCCAATCGGCCCCGACATAGTCACATCTGCTCTTGCCCCTCCCCCACTCCCCCCTGCCCCTCCCTCACCCTCTTTATCTTTCGGGTTCGGCCAAGCCTGAGTTTTAAATATAGCGGCTTTCATGGCTAGTTTTCCAGGCCAGCCGGCTAGGGCCAAACCTCCCCCGGCCCCTCCCAAACCTCCTCCAGAGCCTCCTCCCAAGCCTGCTAACAGGTGGTCCGGAATCCCATTCCCGTACCGATCCTCAGCATCGTCGGCCTCCCGAGCCGCCGTCCGAGCCGCCACGCGAGCTGCGGCAGATCTGGAGGGAGGTTCGGCAGGAGGAGGCGCACCAGCGGAAGCACCAGCGGAAACCCCAGTGGCTCTCTCCGCCATTCCCCCCATGTCTCCCCCCGCGCCGGCTTGTCCCGCCCTCTCCTCCGCCGCCCCTCCCCTTCCTGTCTCCGCAGCCGCCCCAGCTGCAGTTCCGCGGGCGTCCGCACCCGCGTTCCCCCCTCCGCGACCTTGCCCTTGCCCCGCGGCTGCGCGCATTTGCTGAATGCGCGCCTGACGCGTCGCGCGCTCGTCCACCGCCGCGCGGTCCCCCGGCCGCCCGTCCGCCCTCCGCCCTTCCGCCGCCGCCGCCGCGCGGTCCGCCATCACCTGCTCCATCAGCGCGCGCTGCCTGCGCTCCGATTCCACCGCCACCGCCGCCGCGCGCACCGCCGCCGCCGCATACTCCCGCCTCCGCTGCGCCGCCAGCCCCCCCGCGCCCGCTTCCGCGCCCTTTGCGCCGCCGGCGGAGAACGCGAGCGCAACATCGTCCGCGGAGATCGGAGTCGGGGGAGCAACGCGGTTCCGCTTGCACCAATCGGTGATCAGCGCGCGGAGGATCTGATTCGGTATAATTGCGCCGGACGGGAGCGGCTGGCGCGTTTTAGGGCACGTCTTGTGGCCGTCCGCGACCCAGCGCTCGATAAAAGCACGCTCGTACGTCTGCCCGGATTCCACTATAACGGGGTCGAACATAATATCGAGGGAGAGCGGGCAAATGAACTCCTCCGGCGGCTCGGGCTGATCGCTACTAACGGATGACGCGTCATCCGCGCTAGAAGCATCCTCGTTAGAAGGACCGTTTTCTCCCTTTTGACCTTCCTCGGCGCTAGCAACGGCCTCCGCGCTAGAGGCGCTGGGGGCGCTGGGGTCGCCCTCCGCGGTGTCCGCGGAAACGGCGGAAGCCAACTCCGCGGAGTCCAACGGCGCAGAGCCCAACTCCGCGGGGGGCAATTCCGCGGAGCCTGTCGGCGTTGATTCGTTACAAGAACCTTCGTTACCCTCTCTCCCCCCGCTTTCCTCGGCGCCGGAGGGCACTCGGCCGTCCGCGGACTGCTCCGCCAATTCCGCTGATGGCTGCGCCAGTTCCGCCAATGGCTGCGCCGAGTCGGCGGATGGTTCCGGTTGTTCCGCCGCGCCGCCCCTCTCCGCCGTTGATGGTGGACTTGCGTCGTTCGAATCAACGGTTGCCAGTGAACCCGGGGGTGCGCTGCTAACCATCTCTGCTGAAATCTCTGTTGCCCCGTTTTCAGGCCGGCCTGCGCCTTCTATCGAGGACAAACTGTTACTCGCCGAGCTGAGCCGATACGCGTTAGCCTGTCGCTCCAGCTGTCGCCGCATCGCGTTCGCCTGCTCTTCCGAGCCGCGAAGCGCGCTGGCAGGTAGCGCAATATCCTCTATCGACATATTCGCCGAGCCCGAAAACGACGCCGTAAAAGCCGCTCGGGTCTGGCCTGCCCGGCCTTCGGGCTGGCTTCCTTTATCGGGTCGTTCTTTATCGGAGCGGGTTCGCCGGTCATGATGATGGTGATCGAAGACTGAGTGCAGCGCGTGCTTGCTAGACGACAAGAAACGACGCAGGCCAATAACGCTGTGACTCTTCGCGTCGCTCTTGATACTTCCAGCTCCTTCGCTGGTTTGGCCGTTGCCTTGATTCGGGCTCCCGCCGCCGCTGGCGCCATTACTCCCGAATGTTGTCGCCATAACTTATATACCTGTTGCACTCTGTACAGGAAGGGTAGAAATTCGCTATCGTGCATAAATAAACTATACGACATTCCACTCACCACAACCACCCTAGTTTTAGTAAGCACTACTGCATGGCCATAATAAGGATGTGTTACTGGAGTGAGTTAACTCTGCTTGGTGAAAAACGGTTGAATGTGCTGCTGTGAATTTCAGAGCAGTCTGATAGCCTCACCACCGCTTTGAAACGTTAAAAATACATCTAAACATTGACGCACACTTTACAAACGCAATCTTCGGGCGGGATGGAGGTGAAGATTGGAGCTTGGAGACAGAAGATCCGCCACTCTAGATTGGCAAACCACCCATCATGTTTCGGGAACGAACATCGTGTGCCCGGTTAATTAAGGTCGCGTCACAAAATTCCTTCAGCTCCCTACTTCCCTACCGGTTTGGCAAAGGACAAGCAGTTCATTCCAACCTCGTAGTTAAGTTTTTGAGGCCCTGGTGGGAAAACTAGTCGAGGATGCGGGCAGAGGGCAGCTGAGCAGATTGTCAATTGCTGTTTTCACCGAGTCGTGGATTTTGTCAGGTGGTCTGTGTTGTGATTGTAGCTTCGGCTAGTCAACTTCGAGATTGCTTTGGTCGGAAATCACGTGTGGGCTTGGTTCGGCAAAAGCCCACAGTGTGCAGCTGAGCCGAGCCAAGAAATCTCGTAGTGCCCACGAAACATCAACCCAGGTGCTGACCGCAGGCAGAAAAGGAAAGCTGAAGAAAACACGAGAAGTGAATACGGAAGGTGTTTTTATCAGGTTGCCGGAAAACGTTCTTTTTTTTATTCGACTGCTCTTGGTCTCGAACAACCATTCCTCGGTCTGGTTTTGGCTTGTTCGGGCACTGCCCAAGCTGAAGAAAAGGACGACAGCGTCAACATGGAAAAACAGTAATTCTGTTGATTGAAATGAGTCTCGATAGAACCTCGCGCGTTAGGTGCTGATGACTTGTACGATATTACTTCTACAGATTGCAGAACCCTACATAGGTGAAGCTAGAAATTTGACCACACCTTGTGTTGGAGGCTGCACTGCAGCCCTCCTAAATAAAGCCATGCTTGCCTGCTTATTACAATAAACAGACTCAATCTTCTCGCATCGAATTATCCATGACAACACCCCTGTGCAAAGAGAGAACGACATGAACACATCAAGAGACTTTCATACAATATGAAGCCGCAAAAAAATCGGATAGACAGATGCTAATGTAGCCATTGCAGAGACAGCTTGTCGCCGATCAGCATTACAACGCCTGCTAATCTCTTTCGTTCCTAGCCACCCACACACCGCCCGCACGCATGTTCAGGTGGTCTTTTGTGCACCCACAAAACCGAGCAGTTTTTCGATCCCGACATACACTCACACTGCACGGGCTTTTGCCTTGAAACACATGCCACCTGGACGCATCCGCCCACTAGACCAAATATGTTTCCACCTGCCAAACACACTCACTCGCACTGCTTAAGTTTCTCCCTTCAAACACTAGCCCCCCTCCCCCCTCCCCTTTTTTGTGCTTTCAGTTATGCACATACTGCCTGCGCACATGCCGCCTGCATATACCTCCCACTACACTAGCCATATTCCCACCCTAAACCCTGGACCCTTAACTCTAACATTAAGCCCCTCCAAAACCCTAAACCCGCAGTGCTTGAAAAGAGCCTCTGCTTTGAGCCCCTCGATCTGCGCCTCCAGCTGAGCACATGCCGCCAAGATGTTCCCACACTATCCCTCAACTATGATGCGAAAGACGCTCAGAGGACGCTGCGTCCTGCGTCTGGACGCAGCGTCTGGACGCTAGGACGCAAGACGCGCGTCCAGACGCAGGACGCAGATCGAAAAATTTTCGGGCTGCCCCGATTTTTTTTTTTCCAGATTACGAATTTCAATCTCGCGATTTCGACGCGACTGTCGAAATCGCGAAATTTTGACCCCCCATTGCCCAATTCGACATTGAAAAACAGCCCCCCCCCCAACATTTCATACCCCCCCATGCAACAATTGAATTCCAAATACCTCTCAACCACTTCACATCTAGAAAACCCAACCAAGGTGCCTACCACCAAGCCCATTTAGCAATCCAACCAAGTCATTTCTCATTTCACCCACCCAACCAATTCTCTTTCGAAAACCCTAGAGGTTTTAGCCTACAAGCATAGCTTAGCTCCATTATGGCTTCCTCAAGCAACCCTACGTCATCTAACGCATCTAGGGATGTTCATGCCGAGGACGAGTCTCCCCCGCAGCGTTTCACTAGTGATGGGGTGGAGAAGAAACCGCAAAAGCCCAAACACCATATTTAATGGGATGAGATGACTGGTTGCCTGCATGCAGTGCTGTGGTGGTAGTTTAATAGTATGTGTGTTCTTCAGTGATACGATAAACTGTGCATGTGACCTTGGGACATGTGTGTGTCAATACGTGACTCACCTTAATCTTGAGATTTGGGGGAAAAATTGATGTTGGGGCCAAGTTTGCCTTGAAAGTGTGGAACGTTCCCCCCCCCCCCCCCCCCCCCCCTCATCCCATGCCCTATAACAAGTTTTTTTGCCTGCCCGGGGGTTTTTTTTGCCTGCCCGGGACTGCGTCTTTTGGTGCGTCTTTCTGGTCCTGGTGAAGCGTCCTGCGTCCGGACGCATGCGTCCAGGACGCAGGACGCGTCTTTCGCATCATAGTCCCTCAACACCGAACTCAAACCTTCAACCCTACACCCTAAGACCTCACCTCAACTCACAATGCTTGAGCCTCTGCCTTGAGCCTCTGCCTTGAGCCCCTCGATATGCGCCTCCAGCTGAGCGCCTGCCGCCTGGATATCCGTCCTATTCAAGCAGGTATGCTCCCACCCCAAACCCTAAACCCTGAACCCTGAGCCCTCAACTCACAGTGCTCGCACCCCTGTCTTGAGCCCCACAATCTGCGCCTCCAGCTGAGCGCCTGCCGCCTGGATATCCCTCTCACTTGAGTAGCTGCTTTCCCACCCTAAACCCTGAAACCTAAGCCTTGAACCCTGAACCCTCAACTCACAGTGCTCGCGCCTCTGACTTGAGCACCTCAATCTGCGCCTCCAGCTGAGCACATGCCGCCAAGAAATCTCCGTTCTTCTACACACCCGGTTTACTCAAAAAATTCCCGCCCACCCAGCCGAAACACTCACAGCGCTCGCGCCTCTGCCTTCAATCCTTCAATCTGCGCCTCCAGCTGAGCACATGCCGCCTGGATGTCCGCATTCTTCTGCACACCCTCCCTCCACGTCTGCTCCAGCCGCCCCAGCTCCACCGCTGCTGCTTGCTGAAGGCAAAGGAAGGGAAGAGAAGCAGGAGGAAAAGGGTGGGGTGTGTTGCTTGCTAGACGAGCACGCTTCTGTTCTTCTGCACGCCCTCCCTCCATGCCTGCTCCAGCCGCCCCAGCCTCACCGCTGCTACTAGCTGCAGACGACGAATAGTTGGGAATGTCACAGGTACCTTAGGAATTATTAGTATTCATGGTGGAGTTAGTACGCTAGCACGCTTGCACGCCACGTCACACCATCGCCCACGCTCATCGTTCTCACACCACAGTACAATGAGCATGGGCGATGGTGTGACGTGGCGTGTAAGCGTGCTAGAGTAATAACTCCAAGCATTCAATCATTGTGAAGCTGTATGGAGTGCAGTTCCAGCCTTCCCATTTCTTTTACCAGTGGCATCCAATACTGAATACCAGCGCGGCGTTAGAACGTCATGCCACCCCCACCACGCGCGATGATTCTAATAATTCCCAAGGCATATGCGACATTCCGAAGTATCACTAGGGTACGTGTGACATACCTGCCTCTACCATCCCTTCTCCTTCCACTCAACCCTCATCCCACCGCACCTGGTTCAGCCGCCTGTCTCTGTTGAGCAGCTCAATCTCTCGCTTCCTCTCTGCCACCTCCCTTTGTGCTCTGCTTGGGGGGCATGCCGGTTATGGGCGCATAGAATTAGCTAATCTTGTAACCCAAACGCAATGAAAATCCATGAAAAACAATGGGAAACGTGTGCACCAGATGAGCTGCTGCTTCTCAATTCGAGAATGGACGGAAATTACATGAAAAGAGGGAGGGGGGGGAGGAGGAGGGAGGATTGGGGGGCGAGGGGGGTGGGGGGGGGGGGGGGGGGGGTCACTTATCTAAGGAGGCCTCGAGTTGCAGGCTGTGCCCTTTATTTCGAGTTGACTTTTGAGTCGACTCAAAAGTCAACTTTATTTCGAGCGATGACATCGATTCGATTGATGACCTTCATCTCGAGACTTCGATTCCATGGCACCTGAACGACTTTTACTCGGACTCACTTGGCTAGGAAGGCCTCGAGATGCTGGTTGTGCACTTTCCATGCGTTGGGGCCGAAGCAAAGCATCAGATCGAGATTCTCATGCCTGCATGCACACATGGGATCAAGGGTGCACACATGGGATCAAGGGTGCACACATGGGATCAAGGGTGCACACATGGGAGCATGGGCGCACACGAGACAACATGGGCGCACACGAGGCAACATGGGCGCACACGAGGCAACATGGGCGCACACATGAAAGGCATAAACGCAAACATTCGTACCCTTCTCTTCTACTCCGCTCTCCTCTGCTCTCCTCCTTTCCTATCATATCCTCACCACTCCTCTACTTGCCTCTCCCCTCTCCATTCCTCTCTCCTCTCCCCTCTCCTCTCCTCCCTCCCCTGCCATCTTCTCTCTCCTCCCCCCTCCTCTCACCGTGTATCCTGGTGCTGCAGCTGAACAATCGCCACCTTAACCGCCCCTAAGTCTTAGTGCCTTCCTCTCCCTCCTGTCTCTCTCCCCTCCCCCCTCCTCCCACCGTTTACCTTGGTGTTGCAGCTGAACCATTGCAGCCATAACCGCCCCCTTCCAAGCGTTCGGGTCCTCCGCCCCTCGCCGTCCCACTCCCTTCCCGGCGCCCTCATACCGGCCCTTGCCCTCCCACTCTCTCCTTCTCCCCTCCTCTCTCTCACCGGGTATCCTGGTGCTGCAGTTGAACCATCGCCGCCTTCACCGCTCCCTTCCATGCATTCGGGTCCTCCGCTCCCCGCCCTACCGTCCCCTCCCCTCCCCTCTCACCGGGTATCCTGGTGTTGCAGCTGAACCATCGCCGCCTTCACCGCCCCCTTCCACGCGTTTGGGTCCTCCGCCCCCCGCCCTGCCGGCCCCTTCCCCGCGCCCTCGTATCGCCCCGTGTCCACCGCTAGGGTTGGGGGCCGACCCGCCCTCACTCTTTCACACTCCCGAGCAAACATGGGGAGCAGCTGGTGGTGGGGTGGGAAGAATGGGGGGGAATGGGAGGGAGGGAGGCACTTTGGAAGGAGGCAAGGACAGGCACATGCCCTTCCTCTCGCGCCCTCGTACCGCCCCGTGTCCACTGCTAGGGTTGGGGGCTGCGCTGCCCTCACCCTCTCACACTCCCGGACGAACATGGGGGGCAGCTGGGGAGGAGGTGGGAAGAATGGGGGGGAATGGGAGGGAGGGAGGCACGTTGGAAGGAGGGTAAGACAGGCACATGTCGTTCCCCTCGCGCCCTCATATCGCCCCGTGTCCACTGCTAGGGTTGGAAGCCGACCGGCTCTCAGTTTTCGCATTCCCGGGCGAACATGGGGAGGAGCTGGTAAGGAGGGAGGAGGGAAGAGGGAGGGAGGAGAGGAGGAGGAGGAAGAAGAGAAGGGAAACCCTTGACCTAGTAACGGTAACACGAAAACCAGATTACGGTAGGACTAGGGTTATCGGAGTTTAGGGTTACAGTATATCAGTGCCCGTTCTCATATTGCTGATAATGCTAGGGTTACGGTACAACCACCTCAACTCTCAGCACCGACACTGGCGAAGATTTAACTTGAGTTGTGCCTTACCTCGCTCCGCAACTCCGGCACCGGCGGAAGCTCCGCGAGAATGTCCGCGGGGGTGCGCGGGCTGCCGCGCATCTCCTCCTGCACGAGTCGGTTAACCTCCGCGCGCACCGCGGGGTCCTCGTACTCCTTGTCTAGGTACGGCAGCGCGTCCACCTGCGCCTCGGCTTCCGCCGCCGCCGACCGCCGCCATTCGCGCCGCTCCTGCGCGTCGCGGCTTTCTAGAAGCAACGTGGCCATGGGAGCGGTTAATAGCTACAGACGGTGGGTCGATCGTAATATAGAAATTGAATCTACTAACAGGATTCCTAGAATCCTATGCTGCTCGCTTCCCTTACTGTAACCTCTAGCGAGCACACCCTGAGATCGAGCGTGGATGTGGAGCAAGCAGGGGACCAGCACCACCTCGCGGGTGGAGCACGCAGTGGACCCTCGCTGCACCGTACTCCGATAAAAAGACAAGCCCGTGGACAGTGTTCCGACATCAAATGTCTCGTTTTTGTAAAACGACTACCGTAATAACTTCTAAGCACATATGCAATGCATGGTAATCTCACCGAGTCATTTAATTCGTCTTAGTATTCGTCTTAGGGTAGGTACTAGCGAAACCAGTCACCCATCCATTAGCTGTCCTGGAAACCCATATCCGCGCTGTTCCTCCAATTTCTTCTCATGCATTTGCCTTCATACGGAACGGACACATACTGCCCACTGTCTCTATCTTCTCCTTCTCCCACCTTGATTTCAGGCTCCCTGCTGCTCTAGCACACCCACCCTGACTCAAGCTTCCCGCTTATTAGCCCCATACTCTCTCTCTTCCACTTTCCCCTTTCCCTCGTCCCCTCTTTCCTCTCCCTCACCTCCCTTACCCTCTCCCTCAACCCCATTTCCCTCTCCCTCAACCATCTTTCCCCCTTCTTCCCCTCTTTCCACCTCCCCGTTTCCCATTTTCCCTCCAACCACAGTGTCTCCCTCCTCGCAACCGCCACTCTCCAACGCCATTTTCCCGCTCTCCCCCTCCTTCTCATGTCCATTCCCACTCTCACCACCATTTTCGATTCCCTTTTCTCCCTTGTCCTCCTCGCCTCCCACTCCAACTTTTCCCTTTTCCTCCTCCCCCATTACTGCCTTTGCTCCCTCTCCAACCCCACCACCAACACACCCCGTTCCTTCACCCTCTCCCATTCCACCCTCATTCCCAGAACCGATCTTCTCAGGCGCCTCAAATCCAACCCTTTCAACCTCCGGGGTGCGGCTCTTGCTCTTGCCCCTGCCCATGCCACGCTCACGCTCCTCCTGTATCCCCTTCAGGTCGGGAGTTCGACTCCTGCACTTGGCACCTTTGCGCCTGTGAGAAAGCACATCCGGCGTGCTGCTCCGGCTCTTGCTCTTGCTCTTACTCTTGCGCTTCCTCTTGTGGTTATCGTCGCTCGATCGGCTGCGGCTGCGATCCCTGCTCTTGCTCCGTCCTTTCTCCTTCTTTCTGCCCCTGCTTCTGCTCCTCTCCCGCTTCTCGTCGTCATCATCGTCATCTGAGCTGTAGCCATCTCGAGAGGTCGAGCGAGCTTTGCGCTTCCTCTTAGCACCATCACCATCACTGCAAAGTAACACAGATAAACCTCACTGCCATGTCAGGAACACACTACATGATGCCAACAGGCCAGTATCCTAAAGAATTGAACTACTGTCGCGGATGGATGAATGCTACAACGTCTTGTTGATGCACAACCATTACTATCTCTCTCTCGGCTCGTTGGCAGAGGAAATTTTTGACCTGTAAAGGTCGTGCAAAAGCGAATTGAGCACCTGTTGACCCCGAAATGTCTTCCTAATCAGCTACGACATATCCAGGAGCTTCAAAATGAAAAATTAGTATTTTATTTGACGTACCCGTCAGCATCAGCGTCACTATCAGAGTCTGACGCTCTTCTCTTCCGTCGCCTCCTCCTCCGCTTCTTCTCCCTTCCTTCCCGTTCCTCCTCGCTATCCGACTCACTCCTCCGCGCTCTCCTCTGCTTCTTCCCGCGCCGCTTCTTTCTCCTCCGTCTCCTCTCCTCCCGCTCTGAATCCGACGAGCTATCATAACTAGACTCCAGATCGGACGAGCGCAAATCTTCATCATGCGAAGACGAATCCGACGAATCCGACGAATCAGAAGAATCGTCTCTTCGCGAACGGCTTTTCCGACTCTTCCTCTCCTTCCTCCTCTTTCGCCGTTTCTTCTCCTTCTCCTCCCGTTTCTTCGCGTCCTCCTCCGCGGCCTGCATCGCCACCTGCTCCAGCTTCTTCGCCCACTCGCTGCTCATCCCGCCGCTCCGCATCTCCGCGCGCTCCTTCTTCTTCTTGACCATCTCGAGAAATTTCTTTTTGTCCATGGCGGACCGGTGTAGTTAGACCCCACCGGCGTATTTCGAGACGCCTTGAAACGCGAATTTATGAATTTCGGAACAATCGGCCGACAAGTGTTGACGGCCGGCTTATAAACGGCTTCCGCTGACGGCAATACAGTGACGGTAACAGTAAAATTGGTGTTCGGCGACGGAAACGCAGTGCAGGAATTGATGATGTCCGGCGACAGGGGAGCAGCGAAGCTATTAATGTCCGGCATGTTGGTATAGTGTTTGTGAAGAAGGGGTCTCACAAAGGGGAACAAGAGAGCACATGAAAAACATCCCGTCAGCCACGATTGTTCCAAGACAGAAAGGCGAAATAGTTGAATAAAACCGACAAAATAGAAAACAATGGCTACCTGATGTACGGACGGTGATGAATAAGAGAACCACGCGATCTTGCTAGCAGTGGAGAACTCTTGCCGTTTGCGAACCACGGTGCAGCCGAGGAGTAAGTCCCCGACAATGTGTTCCAGTAGCATAAACACGCAGGAACTAATTCTGCGTTGAATGGAGCTAATTCTGCGCTATGAGCGAAGAACTGGCCAAAAAGCTGCGCCAGAAGCTACAGTGCTGCGCTTTTGGCGAGAAGTGTGCGTGATCAACTCAAAACCCTCTAGAGAACTGTGCCTGGAGGAGACGTGGACTGAAACCAACCACCAATGGCGGGCATCGCGTGTGTGTCAGTCTCTCGTAAAGGTAAGCCGCGTTTCTGATGAAATTCGGGCACAGATACATCGCTACTGAAACTGAACCGTACTCGCTACTGAAACTGAACCGTGCTCAGGAAAACCCACAAAAAAGCTTCTGCTCTCAGGAAGATTGTCAAATGACGTCGTTGCTGTACTCCTATATTTTTGGATCTGACATGTAAACACGCCTTGAAAGCAACCTCCTTGGAAAGTACACCAGTTCGATTCAAGTAAAATGCTCAGAAGATAACTATTATCTCAATTGAGACATTGTGCAAGGAAAATTCCTTTTCCTTACTTCGCATCCCTGCTCAACGCGTACATCACTGTAGCACCACAGTCAGCACCGTTACCACTCGCAACCCTCGCATCGACAATCCGCCCGCCACCTTCGCACATCGCACCCCGACCTCACGGCTCGGCGGGTAACCCGCGCTCCGGGCCTCCACTTCGACACTTTTTCCCAACCTCAGTCCCAGGCCCGTCGGGCGACAACCACAGTCCATTACTGTTACCACTGTAGTCTCGCTATATATTCTTCGCCCATGCCTTCGCTCATTGTACTCTTGCTTCGATAGTGCAATTCTCGTTCGTTCACTCAATTGCACTCGTAACACCTGGTATTCAGAGCCTACGATCTCCTCTCGAACCGCACCCACACCTTCGTTTCCCCACTATCTCAATTTTTGGGGGGGGTAGACGTCTCTCAGCGACACAGCACCGCCGCTCGTAGTGCTCTCTCGTAAGCACGCATGGCCACGACCGAGGCTCTCGCTGAGCTCGCCCGACACCCCCGCCATGGCCGAATTCACGCTCGCCACCTTGACGCAGGAGCAGCTCGACCGTCTGGTGCGCCAACTTGAAGATTCGGCGCTCGAAATTGCGACGCTTACGGCGGAACGTGACTCTGCGTGTCAGCAATCAACGATGAACACTCTAGCGCCACCACACGCACCGACAAATGCATCTGCACAATCAGACGAGCCGATCGTCATCTCGTCCAGCACACCAACACAAAACAACAGCGTGGGACAGCGCTCAGGCACAGCTAGCGATGGCGCCGCCCAGCCGATGCCTGGCATGGGAGGAAACAGGGTCGCACCAAGCCCGCGGGAGCCTCGTGAAGCCCGTCGGCACATGGAGTTCGCGGCGACAAGTGGCGAACAGGCCATCATGGCACCAATGCCACTCAAGCCGCAACGCCCGCCCTGCTTCGACCCGAGCCAGCGTGGAGGTCCGACGGTTCAATCGTGGGTCTTCACGATGAACGTCTTCTTCGACGCGAATTACGTCGAGTCGGACGCAGCGAAGATTCGGTATGCCGTTTCGCTGCTAAGGGGCCCCGCCATGGGCAGGTTGTGAGAATAGAGAGCATAGTGAAGAGCACTAGCTAGGGTTCACCTAGCTAGGCAAGAGAGAAATGAACAAAGGAGGGTTTCACTTGCAGCAGTTGGGATACATATAGCAAACCCTAACAGGGTTGTACTTGCTATTGAGCACCCCACTACACGCTAGATAATAACATTCTGACACACCCCCATAGCCAAAGTGGGGTGTAATAAGCAGAGCACGCAGTCATAGAGCAGGTTCACAAATGCAAGCAAAGCTAGAGGCTATCACAGAGGTAAGTGAGGAGGAGGAGGAACTGTGGAAGGAGAGAAGATGGGAGGCAGCGACTGAAGCTGCAGAGGCACGGGCACAGGAGCGGCTGACTTAGTGGCTACCGAAGCAAGGGCGACGGACTACTGGAGTGACTGGCTCCGCGGCTAAGACGAGCGGCAGGAGCAACGGACCCACTGGCGACTGGTGCAACAGGCTCACTTGCTACCAAAGCAAGGGCGACGGACTACAGGCGCTGCAGGCGACACGATAGTTACCTCCACACAACCTCCTCCAACTGACCAACACCCTTGACACACACCCCTGCTGAACCCCGAACTCCACTCCCACGTCACCCCCCTAGCACCACTCCTTCGGCTCCCACACACCCACCCCCCTGAGCGGCAGCTGCAGCAGCGGGAGACGGAGGAGGAGGAGGAGTAGTGGAACGGCGCACAGAAACTGCACCCCCATAACCCCCACCCCCAAACCCTAATTCAAGAGAACGGGCAGCAGCAGGGGTGGGGCACCGTCAGAAGCACGGGGGACAGCGAGCAGCTCAGGGCCAGAGAAGAACGGGCCGCCCACGGGCCTGGCATAGCCCGACGAACCGCGCGCAGGCGGCCCGAGCCGCGCGCGGGCCTGGCGCAGCCCGTACGGGCCTGGCGCAGCCCGTACGGGCCGCGCGCGGGCCTGGCACAGCCCATACGGGCCGCGCGCGGGCCTGGCGCAGCCCGTACAGGCCGCGCGCGGGCCGAGCGCAGCCCGTACAAGCCGCGCTCGGGGCTAGCGCAGCCCGCGCTGGTCGGGACGGGCGACGGGGGACGGCGGGCTGGTCCCCGTCGCACGTCGAAGCGCCCCCCGGGGGCGACGTGCAGACCGATGGGGCAGAAAGCCGCCGCGCGCCTCAGGACGCACGGCGAGCAGAGAACCGCCGCACGCCCCGGGGCGCACGGCGTGCAGAAAACCGCCGCGCGCCTCGGGGCGCACGGCGGGCAGAAAACCGCCGCACGCTCCGAGCGCGCGGCGGGAAGAAAAGTCCGTCGCACGCCACGGGGCGTGCAACACACAGAGTAGCAGCGGAAGCAGTTAGGTGGGCCCACAGGCCAGGAGCGTAGATGCTCTGATAGCATGTGAGAATAGTGAGCATAGTGAAGAGCACTATCTAGGGTTTACCTAGCTAGGCAAGAGAGAAATGAACAAAGGAGGGTTTCACTAGCAGCAGTTGGGATACATATAGCAAACCCTAACAGGGTTGTACTCGCTATTGAGCACCCCACTACAGGCTAGATAATAACATTCTGACACAGGTGGCGAGTCATCGTGACGTCGCCACGCGCCTACGAGCCACCGTCGCAAGAGGAAGGGCCCACGGGCCCAGCTGTCACCTGGAGTTCATTCTGCGAGACCGCCCAATACAGCACGTGGGATGCGTGGTGCGCAGGGCTTTGGGCGCGCTTTGAGCCGATCGTGGCTTCTATTTCGGCGCGTTAGAGATTGCGCACTTGGCGGCAGCTTGGATCGATTCAAGACTATACGAGTGGTTTTCTCGCATTATGCGGGCAAGTCGGCTACATGCGCGAAGCGGAGAGGGTGGACCGTTACGTCGGAGGGCTGAAGCCGGACATCTCGCACGAAATCATGCTACGCGGGCTCTCGAACTTCAACGAGATTCTCGCGCTCGCCGAGAAAATCGACATTTTACGCCGCCCGAGACCGGGGTCCTACTATGGATATCGTCCTCGGGGACCGATCGAGCACGCCACTGTACACGCTGTTGCGACGAATGCAGCTGTCGCGTCGTTTAAGGGGCGCTGCTTTGCTTGCAACAGGCCGGGCCATCGCAAGAGCGAATGCCTAGAGGAGCTAAGGCGTCACGGAGCAGAGCAGGGGAGGGAGTCTCCAAAGCAGGGAAACGCCAGCAGTCAGTAGGAATCGGGCCAGCTACTGACGAGACTGCCTGCTCGCCCAACCCCACCGACCCTCACCGATTCACAGTACCGATTCATGCTATCGAGCAGACTCGGACGAATAAGGAGGGTACAGCGACGGATTGCCCAGTACTGATCCACGGGAAAATACAGGGAGCAGCAGTGAAGATTTTTATCGACGGAGGAGCAAGCCACAGTATAGTTAATACCGCAACCGCACTTAAACTGTAGCTGACACTTAGCCGTTGCTTACCGGAGATAGATGCACGCTTAGTCGACAGCACGCCACTGGCCATATGGGAAAAGGTAGAGAGAGTCAAAGTCCGCTGCGGGGGAAATTTCGGGTTTACACAGGAAATGCTCGCAACGACACTGGATGGGCACGATATTTAACTGGGACGTGATTGGCTGCGACGGTATAACCCGCGAATTGACTGGACGACGAGTACTGCACCGTGCGAAGTAGTGGTAACTGGGTCGAGCTACCTCGCTGGCAGTCGCTCGAGTCTTCAAAGGTACACGTCAACGCCATCACAATGAAACGGGCTGTCGCTGCTGGAGCTAACGTGTACGCTGTAGACATTGCAGTAGGAGGAAGCGGAGCAGCCGAGTGATTTCAAGAACATGCTGGCAGCCATACCGCCCGGATTACAGGAACTGTTGAAACGATACCCCGGAAATTTCCCCGACGACTTACCGGAAGGATTGCCACCTCAGCGAGCACATGACCACCGAATCGAATTAGAACCGGGGGCACAGCCAACCGTACAGCGCCAGTTCAGACTGACACTGCCCGAGCTCGACGAACTAAGAAAGCAGTTAGATTGCCTGTTACAAGAAAAATTCATCAGACCGAGCTCGTCACCGTTCGCCGCACCGATACTATTCACGCCAAAAAAAGGCGGGGGTTTTCGCATGTGTATCGACTACAGAGCACTGAACAGGGTAACAGTCAAATCGCGGTACCCCATTCCCCGCGCCGACGAACTGATTGACCAACTGCGAACAGCACGGGGTTTTTTCGAAAATAGATTTACGGGGAGGTTACCATCAGATTAGGGTCGAACCATCGGACTGCGCCAAAACAACTTTCAGGACTAGGTACGGGTCGTTCGAGTACACTGTGATGCCATTCGGGCTGACCAACGCACCGGCGACTTTTCAGATGACCATGAACGAGGCGTTTAGGCCGCTCTTAGATAAATGCGTAATAGTTTACCTCGACGGCATTCTAGTGTACAGTCGGGATAAGCAGCAGCA